GATAATAATAGTGACACATCAAATGTGGTTATCCCGAGAATTAAATTGATATACACAGTGCCTGGTACCTAGTAAGCACTTGAAAAATGTGAACTCTTTTTAATATTCATTATTTGTATAAAATAGTCAACATTCATATAAATGTATTCACATACTGTTTATTATGATAATAATGATATAAGTAATAACAATTGGCATGCATTTGACTGCAAGTAACAAGAAACTCAACTAAAACTATAGTAAGCAATGAGCAGATTTTTTGGCTTAAATAATTGGAGGTCATAATGTGGAGCTTTAGGGTTGGTTGAATCTAGTGTTACAGGGGATCTCTGTGTGTTGGCCTCATCTTCACGCAGCTAATGCAAGGGCTACAATAATCCTGGGTCTTGTATCTACACACAGTCATGCCAGAGGGCAGGAGCCCAAGAGGTGCTTCCAGAAATGTCCATCAAACCTTCCATGTGTGTCTGTGACATTGATCTGAACTCCTAAAGAACTATTAGAAAAGAAGATAGAATTACCAGCAGGGATCAATTTCAACCCACCTTCACAGGCTCTGTGGGGTGGGTTTATCTGTACAATATCAGGGTTCTTAACAAAAGGGTATCAGGAAATGGATAAATGGATGCTAGTTAAGTGACAAAAGATGCCTATTACTATAAATATAAAAGAAAAGCATAACCGAATAACTATCTCTCCAAGGAAAAGTGAACCCCATTCAATCATACAAGGCAAATGAGAGATTGTGTTTTAAAAAGTTACGGATGAAGACCTGCATAAACAGGGGAAGAACGGCCAAAGTGCATTAGCAGCAGTAGCAGGAGTAGCAGCTGTTAAGGAGGACGGCCTTGTACATTACAAATGGGATTTAAATAAATAGAAGGGGACATGCAAGTGGAAACATAATTTCCTGCAGAAGATGTTGGGCAGTAGAATAACAAAGAAAATAAATGAAACTAAGATGATCAAGAAAACAAAATGCTAAGAATATGAATTAAAACTGAGACCTTCATTTTAGTCTGATATGTTTATTAATCCCTGAGTGTGGACAGATTAATGACTAAACAGAGCCAAGCCTGTGAATGCATTTTATAATGTATGATCTTTGTGCTTAAAACTAGGTTCTCCTCCAATTAAATCTGACATTAGAACAATGACCCAGTCTTACTTACATAAACCAGTCTTACACAGAGATTTTCAGCTCATATAATCTCAAAACAAACAAACAAAAACAAAAAACAAAGACTGTGTCCCCTATCAAGTGCCAGATCCTATGCACCATGGCTAAAGGTACAAAGATGAATTAGATACCACATGTACTGGACGTGTGATGATTTTGCAAGCTCAGCATCACTTTCCAGTTTCTCTGGTAACAGATTTCTTGTTCCATGTAGTTTAGGTGATGCTAGTGCCTGGTAAGAAAAATAGTTCTGTGCTTCTGACCTCTTCTAACCAGTCTATGGGAATGGCCACAGGAATGAACCTTTGACTCAGGAAGGACCAATCAAAGCTTTCTCTGAGAATTAATCAAATGCTTTAGGGTTATTTTAGTCTTATAATTTTTAAAAAACAAAATTATTGCAAAATTTACTAATTATCCTTTAAGTTCTGGAAACTGTGTATGGTGACTAAAAGAACAGCAATTTATCTGCCCCCGTTTCTGCTCTGCCCACGCCGGATTTCGGACACTGTCAAATAGAGGCAGTGGAGAATGGCAAAACCCATTCTGATTCATTCAACACATGAATGCTTCTTAGGCACAAGACATCATTTGAAACATGGTCCTGGATAAAAAGATAAATAATACCCAGCTCTTACCCTCAAGGATCTTACAACTTGGCAAGGGAAATAAGACACGCACAGAGATGACTGCAATAAAAGGAACATAATGATTGCAGCCAGATGTTTGGGGAGAACGAACAGAGCAAAGAGAGAACACAGAATAAGGCAGCATTCAACAGTCAGCCAGGAATATTTATTGAGCCATCACTGGATGAGAAATGAAAATGGAAGCGTAGAGCAGGAACCGAGACACGTACAGGTGAAAAATCAAGTGACATTAATTGTTACCCAACTCTCCAATTTTTTTTTTTTTGTCACCAAGTTCCTAATACATAGCCTGAAATTAAAAACTAAATAAGGTTACAATAGTCTCTGTCAAAGACAGCCTGAGGCACTGATGCTTATACAGGAGGATCACAGTACCTGTGTTCCCAAGTATGCCTTTCTATTGCTTTATTTTCTTTTTCTTCCCCTTCTAAATGAGCTAAGTCTACCTTAATAGGATATCTTTATTCAACCTATCCCACCCTTTTTGATCTGGTGTATTAGAAGAGGATCCTTTTGGCTTCAAACAACAGAAAGAAAATATTATATAACTGAAAAAGTCCAGAGGCAATCCTTTAAGCATGCCTGGGTCCAGGAGCCCAAATGTTTTAATCAAGCCTCTCTCTCTCTGTCTCTCTCTCTCTCTCTCTCTCATTCTCTCTTGCTTTGGGGTTCAAATCTCTCCCTGCGCATGTGGAAGCCTCTAGAACAGCTTCAGGCTCATATCCTCACAGCTTTAGGACTTGCAGGAAGGAGCAGGGGTCATCGTGGCATAAGTTGTGCATTTATGTAGTAGGGCATGCAGTCTAAAGGTGATTGATACGCATATTGTACAAGGGGTGGTAGATTTGTATATTAATTATAGCACTGTTTTCTGGTAGATGACAGTGACATATCTTGTTCTTACAAAATCAGAATAGCATAACAGTTTTCCAAAAGAGGAACATAAAGTGTTTTGAGGACGAGGCCCGTTTTTATCCGGCGCACACAGACATTGTCTATGTGATAGTCATAACCCCGTGCCTCCACCCTGGCTGCCCCGGCAAAAGTCCAGGGATTAGCCCCGAATGGCTCTGGTTGGGCTCTCTGCCCATCCTTGAACTCAGCACTATAGCCAGAAGGATCTGACGTTCTGATTAGCCAGGCCTGGATTGTAGGAAGTGGGATCTGTTCTCAAACCACAAACACTGAAATGTGCAGGAGAGGCATAGCCAAAGAGAAATGGAGGGACTATCCCTGGAATGAAAAGGAAATAAAAATGTCCTCTATACCAGGAAATGCTTACAGCATTTTTTGGCTATCTGAAAACTGGTCTCCTACACATAAAGCAACAGAAAATATTGGCCTAAAAAGAGCACCATGGCCAAAGGGACATGACCTATTTTAACAGACGATCCGAAAGTTAAAAGATAACTTGGAAAGCATCCAATTCAATCTCATCATTTTCCAGATGGGGAAACTAAAATCCAAACAGAGGAACAGAAGTGACAATAGCACACAAGTATTTGGTGGCAGAAATAACCACCTACCTCTCTTCTGACATTTCATGTGTGTGTGTGTGTGTGTGTGTGTGTGTGTGTGTGTGTGCATGTGTGCAAAAAAAAATAAAAATAGTTCTCTTCATTACATCGTCATCAACAAAAAATATATTCTTGTTTCTGGTTTTCTCTCCACTCTCTAATCTGTATAATATGGTTTTGCTTCATATCCACAGAAAGCCTCAGCAAGAGTTGAGTCAACCTCCTGAGTCCACTCCTGTCCCCAAAGACAGAGACGTTAACTTCCCTTACATAGAAACTAGGGCCACTTGTTGCTTTAACGGGCCAAGTTTGGGCTGGGCCTGCAGGAGGGGGCACCTTTCACAAAGAGCTTTTTAATTAGACTGTAACCTGTGCTGGTGTCCTGACTTTGCCCCCAAATCCCCAGCCAGAGAAAGAGAAAAGCATTCCCAATCGCTGGGGAGACTTCTGCTGGTCCCCCCTTTTTCTTTCTCCTACCAACACCTCTTTCCTGCTGTTTCCTACCAGCAAAAACCTGTCACCAGGACAGAAGCATCTCTGGAAATAGGTAGGAGGGAGCCTTACACCTGTCAGCGCTAGAGAAGAAAGTGCGCTCTGCAGAGTTCTCAGTTGTTCCACCTCTGGCGAAGAAAAAAAGAAAAGAGATGAGTCTGAGGTTTCTGCCGCCTCGGTCAGTTCACCAGGCTGTGCTGCTAGTAACCCCTTGAAGACCAAGGATGCGCTCCCATCCCTAACGTTTTGTCTTGGCTTTTGCTTCTCTCCGGGCTAGCCCAACAACCGGCCCGGGAGACGTCTCTGGGTCCGGTTCTTTAAGTCATGGATCGGGCTCCTGCGTGCATGTGTGGTCTTCTTAGTAAAAACTAGCACAGGAGGATCAGCAGTAGAGAGGGTCTCCCCGCGCCCCTCCTTCCCCGGTTTCTGCGCCTCCAGACTTCCCGGCCTTCTCCCAGAGCTAAGAAGAGCCCAGGCTCCGGAGCTAGGGGTGGGGGGCAATCCGCACCCGACATCCTCGCCCAGCCCGGGGCTGTGACACCCGAGCCCAGAACGTGGCCGTGGGCGCAGGCGGGCAAGAGGCTTCCACAGTGAGTTGGGGGCATGAGCTCGGCCCTCGCCAGCGACCCGCAATCCCTAGATTCCCCGGGGGCCACGAAACTCCCATCGCCAGGAAACCTCCCCCCTCCTTCCCGAGCCGCCCACCCATTCCCCCCCTTACCTCAGCACGCAGCCCCTCCCTGCGTGATGATGCAAACCGGTGGGGAGGGCGGGCGCCGGCAAGGGTGGGGAGAGCAGGAGAGTAAGCGAGGGAGGGAGGCAGTGGGAGGAGGAGGAGAGGGAGCCGAACGACCATTTAAAGCGATAGCAATCCCTGCCCTCTCCCCAGTGCTGGGCTGTCGGAGAGCGCGAGCGGCAAGCCGGGGAGCGCGAGAGCGGCGCGCCGGCCGGCGAACCCGAGAGCGCGAGGCGCCCCTGGCTGGCAGGCGCCGCGGGACCCTCCGCCCTGTCCGGCTGCCCCTCCCCGGACGCCCCCACCCTCCGTGCCTGCAGTAGCCACTGGGCTTCCCCGGAGGAGCTCACCCCGAGGGACCCGGACCTCGGCGAGCCCGCCACCGTCCCCTCCAGCGCCGCCGCCGCCACCGCAGTTGCCGGAGCAGCATGGTCCAGCTGGGGAAGCTGCTCCGCGTCCTGACTTTGATGAAGTTCCCCTGCTGCGTGCTGGAGGTGCTCCTGTGCGCGCTGGCGGCGGCGGCGCGCGGCCAGGAGATGTACGCCCCGCACTCAATCCGGATCGAGGGGGACGTCACCCTCGGGGGGCTGTTCCCGGTGCACGCCAAGGGTCCCAGCGGAGTGCCCTGCGGCGACATCAAGAGGGAGAATGGGATCCACAGGCTGGAAGCGATGCTCTACGCCCTGGACCAGATCAACAGTGATCCCAACCTATTGCCCAACGTGACGCTGGGCGCGCGGATCCTGGACACTTGTTCCAGGGACACTTACGCGCTCGAACAGTCGCTCACTTTCGTCCAGGCGCTCATCCAGAAGGACACCTCCGACGTGCGCTGCACCAACGGCGAGCCCCCGGTTTTTGTCAAGCCGGAGAAAGTAGTTGGAGTGATTGGGGCTTCGGGGAGTTCGGTCTCCATCATGGTAGCCAACATCCTGAGGCTTTTCCAGGTAGGGGGGCGCTCCCTTTGGGGCGGAGCACGCGGTGGTTCCCCGCGCTCTTAACCCTAAAAGCTGGCTTGGACCCCGGGGGTGCGGGGTCAGGTCGGGCTTCGCGCCTTTCCACCCTGGAGATCCTGCTGAATCCCTCTCACCCCACCCGAAGAGATGTCTTCCCTCCTTGGTGTATTTTCCTTCCATCTCTCCCCTGTCCACGCTCCGCTCCATCCGGCTTGACATCCTGGATTTATGGCCCCATTTACAAGAAGCGATCTGTGAAAAACAAGGCGATGATTTAAATGGGTTTGCATTACAGTGAAATATGGTCCGAAAACAGGCTTGTAAAAGTGCCGGGCTCCTAGGAGAGCAGGTTAGGCGCTTGGAATACGAAAGATGAGAAGATGTCTCAAAGCCGGGCATTTCCCACCTCTCCAGCTTCCCACCCCCAAGCCACCCGGCAAACCTCCATTCCCTTGGAAAATTTCGAGACCACCTTAAGGAGGCACTTATTAAACCGAGGGCTACGTCTTAACCTTGCTGTGGACGTTAATTGCCCATCTCCCTCAGGCTGGGTTTCCGACCTGTAGCCAGCCTCCCAGGAGCCTGGGGCGGGAGGTGCCAGGACCCTCCGCAATTGGGGAGATGCGGCCCACAGACGTGACCCCCCCGCCCCGTGCAATTTTTTTTGCACCGTCCAAATTGCATTTGCAGTTCGGGCTCTGGCCGGAGCTGGGCTATCGGCTTTCTACTCCTGCCACTTCAGACCTCAGCCCAGAGATGATGAGCTCATGCTAACTGCGAAACAAAATCGCTTTCCCTGCTTCCTCCCTCCACCCCCTCACCCACCACCTCCCCAACGCAGCCCCCAACCCCAATTCTTGGCTCTGAGGACGGTTCCCGAAGAGAGGCTGGAAGGCGCCTGTTGGGAGCCAGTGGGGTGCAAGGAGCAGGGCCGGGCGGTCCTCCTGCTCCGGGTGCCGGAGGGCGATGGAGAAAAATGGGAGGAAGGCGGATCCCCGGCCGCTGAGCGGTGGGTTCTACCGCAGTGCTCTCTCGCCTCCTGCTCCCACAGCCCCTGCCCCGTGGCTTCTGCTCTGCATTGGGTGGAAAAGGGTGGTTTCGAGGTTCAGAAATTGAGATTCGGGGTCTCTGTGACTGTGGTTCCCTTCTCGGTGTTTTCTCCTATATGCGCATCTCTGTCTCCTTGCTCCGTTTTTTTCCCCACTATTTTTTTTCTCCCTTTCAATCTCTGCCTCCTTTATCCCTCTCTATCCCTCACTCCCAAGTTCTTGGTTCATCTCAGTCTCGAGATGACCCTTTCCTAACGCACGGCTCTCTCCCTGCCTGGTGGTACCCAAACCCAGTGAATCTCTTCCCCAGAGGCGCAGGCTGATCCTGCCACCTTACTGTCCCCACATCTAAAGCACTGGCTTCCTCTCAAGTGCATTCCCTAACGGTTTCAGGAGGGGACTCTTTGTGAAATTCAGGCTGTCACCACACCACCCGCAGAAGTGTGAAGTTTTGTGTTCAAGGAGGGGTTCCCATTCAAGGCTGCAGCTTGGCATGGCCCCTCTGATCCTCTGAGCATCCCTGACACCTCCTGAGTGTGCCCTCGTGGAGATCCCTAGATGTTTGCAAACCCAAAGTGCTTTGGAGGTAGCTATCACTCTTGCTGCTTGTTTTCGGGAAGAACCTGGATTGTTGTAATCATACCCCAGAAGCACTTTATTTTTGAGCTTAAAGCTAGACAACTTGAGGGGGCAGTGTTGCTGGAGAGGATGAGGCCGGAGAGATCACCTGAGAACCATTGGGTTTATTGCATTTTCCTAGTTAGTCATGGGGGTCGAAGGCAGAAAACGTTTTGTCTTTAGCATTCTACAATTATTTTGCGTCCTGTTTCTCTCTTCACTCAGCATGGGCAGTACTGCAGATGGGCCTGTCTGTCTGTCTGAAAAAGACTGAAATGTTAAAGTTAAGAAAGGAATCGCAGACTAGGCTGAGGGACTGTGCTTGCTGAAAAAGATTCCAGGGGGAGCTGATTCCTTCTCTGGTGTGTGAACCTGAGGCAACTTGCTAGGGAAAAAAAGGCTGCCTTTACACTCATTTCTCCATTGCCTGAGCTGGGGAGAAGAACCAAATGCCAGCGTTAGCAGTGTGGGTTGGGACTAAAACCATTCAGAGAAAACACTGTCATTTTCCTCTAATTTGCAAATCGCAGCTATTCATGTTGGATTGAACAGCTGAAGGAAAAAGAGCCCCCAGTTTTCACCTGCATTTATCGAGAAGAGGCTGGTAGTAGGAGAAATGTACCAACTTGTAGCTTGTGCTGCATGCAAGCTTGATATAACAGTTGGTTGGCATGGTATCTTGCTTAACCATTGCCCATATTGGAATATGTATTTCCGTATACCAAGAATCTCTTCCAGTGGCCTTTCTTTTCTTTTTTTTCCATGTGATTTTAGAAGCTCCTGGCATGCCATTCCAATCGCCAGTTGTCTAGCTTCTGTAAGCCTGCAAAATGAGTAGGGAAAATAATAGCACACATACCCATTGTTCATCGGCACAGTCACTTAGGGAGAGAGGAAAAGAACATGGTGAATCTTCTCTGGGAGTCTAAGGTTCAGCTCTATTAAGATTGTCCTATATAAAAGAAACTCCTCCAAATGATTGCATTCCTAGCTCTCCAATGATTTGAATTTTCTTTTTCCCTCTGGTCCCTGCCGATGCTGTGGGGATCTTGCCAAACCGATCACTGGAGAGATAAATTCATATTGAGATAAGCCTCTAGGCTGTGTGGGGAGGGGGGCAGGGGGATACTTAGGCACTTATATGGGGGGTGCTGAGCGTTGCAGGGAAGTAGGGAGGAGTAATGAGATAGTAATAGATGTATCAAATGCTGCTGCTGCCGGAAAAGCCTGGGATGAAGTTCTTTCCTGAAAATTAGGACCTGGGCAGGAATGACTACTGAGATGGAAATAGTGTCTGTGACTTCGAGTTTTCATATGCCTGCTGGTACACCAGATCTAAGATACGAGTTGAGCAAGTTCTCTCTGTCTCCTCTATATATACACTGAATAGGTTAGTAAATGACATGCCTGAGGACAGGAATCATACCCAGTGGGTCTTTCAAATCCAGGAATTTGAGGCTAATGAAATTAGTGTGTGGCCAGGCTCTGCCAACTAAAATTAAATCACTGCAACTGCCCTGCAATGCATTTTCGGCCTCAAAGAAGCATCAGGGAGGAATTTCTGGAGATTTGTTTCTGAGCTTGTACAAAATAATACTCTCCTAATGCTAAGAAAGATTAAACGTAAATTAATATTGACTATGAGTAACATATTTTTAAAAAATCATCACAGAGTAGGGATGGCTTAAAGTGGAGAGGTTATATAATATGGTGACCAAAGGATAAATCTCCCCTGACCACTGTTTTATGGGCAATAAGTAAGATATATTATAGTGGAAAGTAATGGGAACATTTTCATTCAAGGCTTCTCTGTTACTGACTTAAAAGCAAACACTCCTAGAGTATAAATTACTCTTGCTACATCCCGACTCTGAATGAATAATATTTCATTTGTAGTGACATGGTCTAAGCTATAGAGTTGGAATTGAATGGCATCTGTTTCAGTTTTTTTTTTTTCTTCCCAAAGCAACTAGATGGAAAAAGTGGTCAACTCTATCCTTGTTGGAGCATAATGCAAATCTAAGCCTGTGGACCTTGTACCATAAATGAAGTACATTTGTAAATGTGTCATTGTTTTCCTTCTGTTTATTGAAACTTGAATGTAATCTCAAACTTTTAGGGCAACATCTTATACATAAATACCTAGATTTTTTTCTTCTCTCTCTCTCTCTCTCTCTCTCACTCCATCTTATGTAATCAGCTAGAGCTAAGCACATAGAATGATGTGGTATTACTATAGTGGGGAAATTAAAAAAAAAAAGCAACTCTAATCTACACTTTTTAAAATTTCATAAATATAGGTGCCACTGCCATTTGCAATAGTCTCTATAACAATCTCTGCCTCCACATTTACTGTGTTTTAGGAAATGTGCCTAACAGATGGTGAGTGGGAAATTTTTAAAGGGGCATTTTTTAAAAGAGCAGAGAGGGAAGGGATGAATACATGCACATATTATATTTGAATGTGTATTTTTTTCTTTGCATACCCATACAATTAGGATGTCTTTAGATATTTTTCTCTTCAAGAATAATTGAAACAATGAATGCATTTAATTCAACTTCATAAACATTTGAGTTTAACAAATTACGAGTGCCCTATTTCTTACATACATACAGGTTGCGTGATGGATTTAAAAGATCAAAGTGGGATTACACAGTATGTTCTAGTCTCCACCCTGCCATTAACTAGCTAAGTTACACGAAATAAACCCCTTAATTTATCTAGGCCTCATTTTCCCAATCTGATTTTTTTTCTTAAAAATTGTAGTTCCTAGAAGTTCCTCATTTTTGTTTAGCCTGGAGAAAACCTGCTCTTGTCAAAACTCTATTTGTATTTCTAGCATCCACTTTGAACTGTCAGTGAATTTGGGGGAACTTTTAAAGGATATTTTCACATGGCTATCTTGGTCTTTACTAGTTTAATTTCCCATATTCAGACTTTTTCCTTACCCTTTTTCCAGTTTGCTCCTCAGTCATATATATGGCTAGTGGTAGGGAAAATGACCTCTTGGGTCAGTTTACTGTATGGTCATAAGACACAGGGCAGGGAGTAAGAACTGTGAAGTTTACAGTAGCAGTTACAGCTTTCATCTCTCCAATGTCCCATTGCTTTTCATCTTGCAAAAATACCCGACTTCTCTCTCTCTGAAAACTGCCAAACAATGACATCCTGCCTATCTTCCTGGCCCCAGGGATGAGGCTTCTGATCCAGGCCAAACAAAGCAGGTAATTGGTTCCGTTGTGTTCATCTGACCTTGTCTAAGCCAATCAAAATCCTCCCCAAGATGTTTCTGTCAGAGAAAAATGGGAACATTGTCTCTTCTC